ACACACACACACACACACACACACACACACACACACACACACACACATTCCCACGCAAATAGAGTGACACACAGAAGAAAAGCTTGTATTCCCTTTGGAGTTCTGGCTGCACAACATTCAAAGGGGAGTCAGAATCTTTTTTTCACTAGGGTACTTTACAGCAGCCATGTTGCTCCTGCACTGTTTGTTCTGGTGAACCAGTTTCAATCAAATGAAAAACAGGCAGCTGAATGAGAAAAATCTCTTCCTTAGTTGCACTTGTATATTTCCCTGTGCAGAGAAAAAACAAGTTCTGTGGGACTGTGTGCATGTTGTGCTGTAAAGTCTCTTCTTTTCCACAGAATTTGAGGCTGTATGTGTGCGTGTGTGCTTGTACAGTACCTCTGTCTCTGAAGTTTAAAACCTTGAGAATTAGGACAAATTGTCACGACTGGTTAGCTCACAGCCGCCACTCTGCACTGCTCTCGTGCCGCAGTTACAGCGGATAAAGCTGTCCTGACCAACAGCGTCGTCGGAACCTCATCACACTACAGTTGTTGATGGACCAGGCCAGGTTTTAAGTTACTCTTTAAGGATTATAACTTTAAGACAATAGTGAAAGTTAAGGTTTAAGGTTTGAATCTAGGGAATGCCTTATATCAAAGAGGATCCTCCCAAGTATTAAACTTAGTGTGTTAGCTATACCACGCTACCTCAAAAGCATGGATGAATCATACCGCTGACTCTCTTTCAGGCACACAAATAAGTAATCAAGTCAGGTAACCACTCATACACCTTTCACATTATGTTACCACAGGGTACCTGCAAGATCACACACACACACACACACACACACCACGGATACACACACACGCAGTTGTTTTGCAGACAAAGTACCCCAAAGCAAATACTGCCACAAAACAGAGACACCAGCAGTTTAAAAGCATTAACCTGTGAAAATACGGCAGTGGAATATGAGTTACTTGACAGGTGTACAGTAGGGGAATTATGTACAATGAAACCTTCATTCACAGACACATTTTAACACAGATCCAAAAGCCCAGATGGCAGCTGTACATTATTATGACTCAAGATTTAGCCTTGAGCTGAGAGTAAAAGATACTTTTATGACTTTGTCACCGTTGGGGGCATAACTTTAAATGTTGTGGACAAGATCATGTGTCAAAGCATTCAAAGTATGTCTGAGCATATTCCCCTTCTCATAAACCAATTAACCATAAAACTTCAACCATCAATTCTGACTATAATCCCCCTGTCACACGGTGGTGCATAGGCACAGATTTATGTTTAGGTGATGATAATCACCAAATTCCTTTTATTGCTCTGATTATTAACGAAACTCTGCAACAAAAGACAAGGCTACACACGTGTTTCCCACAGGATTTTGTGAGACTGTGGTGGGTGGACCTCGACCCGCTTAGGGTATCCGGAGGCATGCTCCCCCAGAATAAAATGTTGTACATTTTAAAGTTAAATGCGTCAATCATGGTACTTGGAGAGACTATACCTATAAAGAACCTTGTGTTCTTGAAAACAATTTTGTGTTCTCGTAAACAATTTAATCATAAACACATTGGTTGAATAGATTAAAATGGCGATAACTTGGCAAAAACAACAAACAAAGCATGGTACACGAGACTGGGTCCGTGTTTCAAGGTGGGTTACTGACATCACTACTGTCAGTGGTCATTGTCACGTGAGACCCTCCTCTAGACTACTGTTCATGATTATCAGGAGACGTCTCTTGATGCGTCTTTTGATAAAAAAATATATATTACATTGACGCAGGTGAGAAATCAGCCTGAATCCCTTTTGTCAGAATAGGTATAGGCTTTGCATTTTACTGTAAAGAAACATACTGCACACTTGCAGCTCTGTGCAAAAAAAAATCCACCCACTGTCCACGAATCCAAACTGTCAATTTTACTATGTCAACTTATTAAAAAAAAGAGCAGCAGGAGAGCCAACTGTCTTTCATCTTTTTAGTGAAAAGCTTTGAAAACTACAAAGTGCGGCTTCTCCTAGAACCACCACCATCACTTTGATTACTGCCATCAATGCCTTCTACATCAGGATCATTTGTAGCCACAGCGCAATTACAATTATCAAAGTAATTATGTAGTATTACCACCATCCCCTGTAATTACTACGTTTCTGTCATTCTTACACCTCAATATACAACCCTGGTCACAAGTTATTAAGATGTCTTTTTTCTTCCGCCTGACTAACGCTGATTATAGGTTAGAAATGTTAATACCACATAGAAATAAGGATTAGGCAATAGGTCAACCCTAGAAATAGTGAGTAATGGAGAATTGTAATTTATAAGATGACATGGACATGCAATCATCACCAGAAAAAAAAGAGCAATTAGCATAAGGCACAATGTACAAGTACAATGAAAACAAACAGATTGTAGTAAAAACCTGATACAACAAGTAAGGAAAGTGTTTTCTGCTGTAGCTGCAGTGGAACGGAGCAGTGAGCTGAAATGTCAAACCCTGGTATCCAACAGGGCTGATCAAAGGTGGAAAAATGCTTTGCAAGCATTTGAGGCCTACTGTTTTCTTGAACTAAGAAATCCTCGACCTGCACTGCAGCTCCAGTCAGAGTTCATTGGATGTTCCCTTTGAGCTTGCTGACAGCTGCACCAATCACCTCACTAATGAAAGTGCACTCCTTTAGCACAGTGCATGTGAGAGTGGGAACAGCATGCATGTGAATGCATTTGGTTTACATAGTGTACGTTTGTGCATGCAGGTGAGTCCCGTGCGAGTTTGTGTGCATTTTTACGTGTGTCATTTCATTTACAAAAAGCTATAGCCACACAACATGCGGGGCCACCCAGCAGGCCTAAAAATTCAACCACCTGGACCGTATTCTGGGCCAGACTTATAGTGCTGCGGCTGCTACTACACACGTCACCGTGGATAGTGGAGGTTTGCTAGATTAATGTCCGTCCTGGTGTGCACAGTGCCTTTGGGCATGGCTCCACCTCCACTCCACCTCCACTCCCGCCTGAAAATATTCATGAATTGGCCACGCTCTATTAGGCTGTCACTGGCTTGGGTGATTAATGAGGCCGGCACATGTGGACGAGCCACCGACAGCAGGCTGCCAACCAACAAAATGACTGCGTGAGCTGACGGGGACGGTGGAGCTGAGCAAGCCAGAGCCAAAGTCGGATGGGTTTCAGCTGATGATATTGACGAATACAGACCTTTACTCACACACACACACACACACACACACACACACACACACACACACACACAAATCCAGGCATGCTGCCATTTGCCGCATTTTCTATTGAATGAATGAGGGTCACATGAGAGAGTGCAATCAATACAACCGCGTCATTTCCTGGACTGTCTCCCTCTTGTTGCCAATGTATAATTCCAGCGTAGTTACCTCCTCCCCTCTCCTCACCCCAATCACTACATTTCACCTCTGGCGAATCAGATCCTCTCCTCTTCTCTCTCATTTCGGACTCCTCTTGGTTCCATCTATCTACCTCTCATCTTCCCTCATTTCATTTCATTTCTTTTCATTTCATTTCATTTAATTTCCTTTCCAGTCTTCTCTTAGCCCTCTCACACAAAGTAAGAACCTCACCACTAACCTGCACACCCACACACATCCAAGGGAAGAAAAAAAGGTCATGTTAAAATCTGTTTCTTTTCTCCAAACTCACCAATATTGAAGTCAGAGGGTGCCTAAAAGCTTGCCAGAGCTGTATTAATCAACTCTGGGTTGGATAAATATCACAGAAACAACATCTGAGCCCTGAATTGGAAGAATGACTGACAGGTACAGACGCACCTAGAGGGAAAACAACTCATGATATATTCTCGATCCTTGCAGTTATAATGGGTTATGTAGTAGGGTTTGGTTAAACTTCCATTAGATATATAGTATCTTCTTTGAGTAAGTTAGTTTTTCAATTTCCGCATAACAGAATGCTATCTTTGGCAAATCTAACTATTAAGCAAGGAAGTTCTGTCTGTCTGTGTGTATGTAGTTGTACTTGACGGTTCTTAACAACACTGAAAGCAGCACTTCTGGGGGCCAAGCAATGGGCCCATTGCAAACAGTCACACACTTTGTGCCCAAACCAGCAAAAGAGTGGAAACATTGTTTCAAAAAAAGGTAGCCTCACATTTGCATACACTTACTGTAACAGACTGTTCTCTAAAAACCCACAAGTTTAGGTTCAATACACAAAACTCTAAGGGACACATCTCTTCTTAAAGGTTATAAATAAAACGAGACTCAAAGAGGAAGTTGAAAGGCAGAAGAACTGAGAGTTAAGATAGGCAGGACGGGCGGTTCACAGTGGCTCATTGCTATCTCTGGGCTGTCTGACACATGGTTGATGTCTCAAGCCTATTTCCTTTCTTCAAAGCCTTGTGCTGATTAGGAAAAAGGTTAGCTGGTGCCACTCAGGGTCACGCTGCCTTTGTCTAGGGAGTTGTAATTAGTGCTTGCTGGACTGCAAGAGGGTGGGAACAGGCCGTGATTTAATCTTCCTCTCTATTTACGAAAATAACTTCCCTCGAGCAGATTTTTTAAGGTTTTTTTTTAAGGTCATTCAGTTTAGTATCTTTAGAATCTAACGAGCACCTTTGCCGAGGAGGCGGTCAGATCACTGGTGGATACAGCTGCGAACTTCATCCCCATTCATTATTCTCTGTCTTAAAGATGTGTTTTCATCATCAGCAGGCGGTGTTTAAAGAGTGTACACAGATGAGATTGAAAGTTGAAGACAGACTATACATGACACAGCTTAACATGCTCTATCATTATTTTAATTCATGCATGATGAAGATGTTGAAAAAGAGTGATGTGACTGTGAATTATTTTGGGACGCAGACGTCGGGCGGGTTGCTGTGAGGCAGTTCTAACTGTGGAGAGCAGCAGCTGCTTCACAAGGGAGCATGTCACAGGGTGAGATGTTGATAAGCAACGCATCTGTTAGAACACAGTCGGCGTGCGTGCGATAGGTTTGTGTGTGCCAACATGTGTTAAAGGATAGCAGACACTAAACAAAAATGTTTGCACTTTGTTTGGCACATTCTCCCCAGGTGTGTATGATTGTGTATTTTGTTGTGACGGTGTGAATCCTCTACTCACAGTCAGCCTGTGCACAGATGAGGCAGGCTGTGGTGCCGTTAAAGAAGGTGAGAAGGCCGGCCACAGCCAGGCTAATGTCGGTGTTGGTTGGCCTCAGGTCCAGCGTGGTGAACCGGGGGTACTGAACCTTCAGAATGTCCTCCGGAGCCACCTTGACATAGGGCACCTGCACAGAAACGCTGACGTCAGACTACCATATAATCAATTGCAGTAGATCGGCATTTCGCAGTAATGTTCATGTTTAAAAAAATGCAGCTGACGTCTGCAGACAGGACAACCTCAAAAAGAAATCACAACAAGAGAAAAGCGTAAATTGCAAAATAACAAATAGTGAGAAAAACTGCCAGGAAAATCCTTTTAACCTTTTATAATGAATAACAAGCAAGGATAACCTAAGTGGTCTGCCGCAGTGTGCATATTCAGAATACATATATTTTCAGTGGCTCATGTGAAGTACGAGCATGGATCTAAAAACATATTTTTGTTTCACCCACACGAACAAGCCCTTGTTAGAGAAATCTTCAGTACAACACCCCCTCACCCACTGTTACAAAACATGTTTACCCGGCTCACTGTGGAGCACCTTTAAGCTGTGTGTTTGAGCTGGAACCGTTCGAACAAATGTGAACACGCACCAAATATCACAGCAACATAATATCTGTTATATTTTGGGGATGAAATCTGGTGCTTAGGAATATTACACAATAAAGTTTCATTGGGGATGTTAATATGATCACGAAACGGGTCGACACATTTCCTGTTCATCCCACTCAGATAGTCAAACACATTTAAAACTGTTAGCTGTTACTTTACAAGGACTTTTCCATGTATCATAATTGGGAGAATTGGCTTTTTACTCCAGCACATAAACATAAAATGGTTACAAGAAGGTTAAAGTGCGGAGACTCGGATGTAATTTAAGGGTAGTTACATCCATATCAGATGATAAGAATTGGACGAACAAACATATATTTAAATAGGTACATAAAAGTATCAAAATGAATCATTTTTGTCATATAATTTGTGTTCATTGCCTGACTGAACTCTTGAGCCATGTTAAGCTGAGGTCACACGACTAACCTTACAATAACCATGCATGCATTGGGAGGATCATCGTCCTGCTGCATTGTCCTACAATTTGGGAACTGTGTGTAAAGCTGCTAAATCTTTCTACACTTTTAACCTAAAATGATTGTAAAAAACCTCAACCACTCTTTAAGGTCTAAGTCAGCATCTCAGCCACAGGGTCATTGTTAAACTCAAAAGGGGGCAGCTAGACTATAATGTATCACAGTCCAAAAACCTGAGAACAGATACTCTACATTTTAAAACATCCTCACATGCTGCTCAATAATAAACAATACCATTTAAATTACACTGAATATGAACTATTGAAGATGCAAGATCTGAGATTCAGAGCATTGTGATTGCCTCTTAATGTCTATCAGCGATAACAGTGCAAACAATGGCGAAAGTGCTGGCAGAGTTACCTACAGAAGGAGAACGAATTAATTCTACGCTTAGACATTTACAGACAGAAGGAGTAAGTAAAAGAAAGCCAGCCAAGCCTTCAGTAAGAATCAATAAATAAACAAAATACTTCTATCCGAGCCCCATTGTGAGGCACACAATCTTTAGAGTGATTGCCGTGTTTTCACAGCATAGATTTGCTGTAGCTATATAAATATCTGTATTCCTTAGCCGCATCTAATGAATTTATCATACCACCCCCACTACACTAACAGGTATGTCAAGCACAGGCAGGTCTGCGCTGTCAGAAGGGAGGCTAAGTACACTGCAGCTAACCTTGCAGCCTTCAACGTGACCTGAGCAACCAATCCGGACTGGAGCCATCAACAAATGCTGAACTTCAGGAAAATCATAAATTACATTCCACCCCAATTCAAACAAGTCTCCCATCTATTTCCCTCCACTGAAATCCATCTCTGCTTCAGTTCTTCATGAGTTGATGTGAATGGATACATGCTGCCAGGGCTTATAGTGAGCCCGGGAGGGGGGAAAAACGGGTAGAGGGAGTGTGCGAATGAGTGTGGCAGGTGTCGGGTCGGTAAGCTGCCAAGGCATGCAGTAGAGCACAGTGGGGCTTGAAGGGGATGCGGGAGGACATGCTCGGGCCGAGAGGAGGGACAAGGAAGGGAGCCTCTACATCAGGGCAGATTGCCTGTCTGTGTGGTTCCCAACGTACCATACATTGCTTTCCCCCCTCGTCCCCATATCCCCTTGGTTGGTTTTCCATCCCTGCCCATCAGGGTGTAATGGAGTCCCTAGGTGTCTGGATGGATGGAGGGGAGGCCAATACTGACAGCCCCGTGCTGGAATGCCATTGAGTCTTCTCAAGGAGTCCTAAAACCTGGGTAATAGCCGACCAGCCCACTGGGGAAATGTGCCCCTCTTCAGGTGTGTCCTTCATCTTCCCTATTGCATTTGTACAATTTCTCACTACCATTTTCTCATTTTTGCCTCCTTCTCTGCTGTTTTTCTGGGTTGCCTAGATTGTTTACTCTTTTTTTCCCCACTTGTCCCCTTTTCCCATGCGCTCTCTTTCCTTTTCAGCACAGCAGACTGGTGCTGCCCGACCCCTTTCACTTAGAAACCTGACACGCTTCGATAGTCTGTATCTGAGGCAGCGGGGGGCTTAGAAAGCAGCTTACACAAATTCACGGATATTCACACACACACACACACACACACACACACACACACACACACACACACACACACACACACACACACACACACACACTTTGTCCTTTTCCATCCTATTGGACCCTACTGCTACAAATGTCGGCATCTCAGGGGAATTACTTGATTCTTTCCACGGCATGTAGCCTTAACTCACAAATATTTAACTAGACATAATCATCATTTCCCCCAAAACATAATTATTCCCACTGTATTATAAACTTAACTGTTGGCATTTGGCATCGACAAGGGAGCTCAACATAGCCTACAGCAAGGCCTGGGAAGAGAGGACATTATCTATAGATCACGCCTTAAGACAGTTTCCCCTAGTTGGAGCACTATGATTAATTGCTTGTTAAACTGTGGCAGTCACGGCTCCTCATGTGGTGAAGTGACAAAGTGTTTTGAATCAAGACTCGAGTTAAAACAGGGATTCTCGAAGCAAAGAAAATCAATCTCCACATTACTAGCAGCAAGTTGTCTGCCACATCAAAGTCGCTTGCCAGACTTTTTATCTGCAAGCAACAGCTAGTATCAGTTACTCTGCTGGTCAATTTCCCCAAAACTAAAAAGGGAAAATCGTACCCACATGTGTCTTTGAAGGTCACAGTTTCAAAGACTCTGAACCGAACAGCTGCATCACTTTGAGTGCAGCTTTGCAGGAAACACACGTTTGCTACGCCAGCAATCCTTGGTACTAACCACTCAGTCAATTACATGGCACACTGGCTCATCTGATCACACATTATGACTTTCTGATTTACTGTTATGGACAATGGCACTCTGTCTGTGGTAACTGTTAAAGCTGCACTAATCAGTATCGTTTAAAAAAATAAATGTGTGTAACCTGCCCAGCACAAAATGGCAGACAATGCTAGCGTCTATAGCGGGAGAATGTGACAGCAAATTTATTCGATAACGAGCCAGATGTTTTTATCAGGAGTTGGCAACCGAAAACAGAGCTAGAAGGAGAGTGAATATTGGACCAATAATCATCAAGCCAGAAACATATCTTCAAATGAATATTGCTCCGTGCCTGATTGACGTTAAAACAACCTTTTGCGAACACGTTCATCATAATAACTTTTAATGGTGATGATATGTCAATGTTGAGTTTCCTGCAGTTTTAACTGTGCAATTAATGACGCTTAAAATGTTATAAACGGCTATATTTTTTTGCATGCTCACAGTTCTTTACTGGCTTCATCTTCCTACCATCTACAGCAATTAAAATTCAACGAGGTCCAGTTCGAGAGAATTTCCTCATGCAAAGGTCTGGAACATCACAATAATGTCTAACTTGCGCGATGATTTAAGTGCCATATATATACAGCGTTCTCTCCAACTGTTGGTTCTCTCTCCCCGTCTCTGCCGTGTGTGTGTTTATCTCACTCGATTCGAGGGTGATAATTAGCGTAATACACACATTCGATTGGCCGAGTAGCACCAGATGATTTACAACGCATGTAATTGGTCCGTGTGTTTCCTGGATCGCTGAACGAGTGCAGTAAAGGCAAGAAAAGCAGCGCCGGTTAAAGCCTTCCATCAAAAAATTAATAATTCTCAATTATCTATCGGTTTTAGGTCTGGGTCCAGATACAACACGGACGGTGGTCCGGCATTTTAGTGACTCCTGATCAACAGTTACTATTTTTCAACAAAATCAAAAGGCAGTCTAACACAATAAACATATTTCCCTAATCATTGGTGTTATTGTACATGCATGTGACTGAGTTAAAAGCTTTCAGAATATTAATATGCCCTCCATTCTGTACAAATATTCTTGTCGCAAATTGCAACATTATCAGTAGAGACAGCAGTTGAAGCCAGGTAAGTTTTTCTATTCGGCTAAAGCACAGACAATTATTAGAGACAATGTAAACAACTTGTAAATACTAGTAAACGAGCTGTAATTCAAAATGAGATGGAAGTGTCTTTAAAAAGCATCTGCTCAAGGCAGTCTATTGGTGTGGGAGTGAAACTAATTACATCCGAAAATTGTGAGGGGAGGGAAATCTCAGGCAAACAAAAAAGCCCAAGGTAACCGCTCCTCTTTTAATAATCCGGTACGCTTCACTGTAAATAAAACTAAATAACCCGGTTATGACGAAGGGAGGGGGAGGACAGGGAGACTGAGTGCAAGTGAAAGACAAAGAAAGAGAGGGAACATAGAGAAGGATCGAGATAAACTGACAGTCTGACTGACAGAAGAAGAGAGCAATGAAGTGAGCGACATAGCGGCTGAGACGGGGGAAACTGTGTGCAGGGCAGGAAAAGGGGAAAAGGTAAACACACGTAATAACATAAACGGAGAGTGAGGAATGGCGAATGGTTACAATCAGCACTCATTAAATGGTCTCATTGAATTTAGCAGTTTTGGAATTTGATTCTGTTGTCTTGGAGACAATCTGTCTCATGTTCCCCACTTTATTGGTTTATTTCTCTTGACATACAGTTTCAGGG